ATTCAAACCTTGCAGATTGATTTTTCTTTCAGTATATGAGAGAATTGATTGATTTTCTTTGGCCCAGAGATAATAACTTCTTTGTAATATTAGAAAGGATAACCATCGCAATATGAAACGAAGGCAAGAACAGAAATAATAATGGCGATAAAATTATCAATCATGATATCTCTAATAATAATAATAATAATGTCAATAGTAAACAGTAACGGGAAAGTGTCACTGCCTGGAGGTTAACTACTTTTGTCAGATTTTAAATGCAATCCATTGATTCCACCTCTCCGAGCGATTCAGTTATCTTCTATACGATTCCTATGGTTTTGGGCTACCATTTTATTGGTGTCAATACTACAGGCTCATTTTAGCATTGATTTTTATTATTTCAAGAGGCTCTTCAGATGTAGCCATAAGTACTGACACTCGGCCCTCGTGACGATCACTGTTTTATATGTATTTACGTGAATATTTCTACAATTTGCATGTTTGTAAAGCGATTGGCATGGGCAAAGGAGTAGCGAGTGTTCGTTGGAATTGTAGCAGCAATTGGGAGGTGAGTAAAAAGAAAGATGAAGAAGAAGCGAAAGAAAGAAGAGGAAAGAGAAAGATAAACAAAAGAAGTGGGACAAAAAGCGAGAAAAAAAAAGAACAACAATCAGGAAAATAAAAACAAAAGTGAAAAAAAAACGCAACAAAAGGAAAGAAAAAAAACGACAAAAATACCAGATGAAGAGGAAGAAGAACTAAGAAAGGAGGAGGAGTGGAGACGATAAAGAAAGAAAGAAAGAAAGAAAGAAAGAAAGAAAGAAAGAAAGAAAAAGAAATAAAGAAAGAGGAACGGTAAGTTAAAAAAAAGATAAAAAGAAGAAAGAGAAAAGGAAGTTTTAAGAAAGATTATACGTGAAAGAAGAAGGAGAAGAAGAATAGGAAGGAGAAGAATGGAAAGAAAGAGACGAAGGAAAGAGTAAGAAAGACATCAATAAACAAAAAAAAAGGAAAGAAAAGAAAGAAAAAGAAAGACAACAAAAATGAAGAGGAAAGAGAAGAAGAGAAAGGTGGAGGAGTGAAAAAGAAAAACAAATTTGGAAGAAAGAAAGAAAGAAAGAAAGAAAGAAAGAAAGAAAGAAAAAGAAAGAAAGAAAGAGGATTAAGGAAAAGTGGGAAAGAAAAAAGGGAAAAAAGGGTAAGGATATTTTAAAAAGGCTGAGATGTTAAAAGAAGAGGTAAGAGAATGAAAATAAAGAAGTTGGAGAGTAATGAGAAGAACGAAAAATTGAAGGAAAGAAAAAGAAAAAGAAAAAGAAAGGAAAAGGAAGAAACAAAAGAAAAGAGTTTAAAAACAGAAGAAATGACAGAGGAACCTGCGAAAAAGGTAGAAAAAAGAAAACAAACGAAAGAATAAAGTCGTAGAGAGGAAAAATATTTAAAAAGAACGAAACGTAAAAGCATAGAGCAAGAAAAGAAAAAAACCGGTAGAACGAAAAATAAAATAAACCAAAGTGCTAAAAAATAGTGTTATTCATAAAACTCCTCCCTTCACTTGAATAACGGCGGCTGCGCAACGAGGTGCTCGAATGAATATATGGGTATAGATATTCAGTTGCACTCTATGGATTTCCACATTCGAGCTGTTCGTTGGATGCAGCTTCAGAGAATTTAGAAAGGTTTGCAACATGTCTTATATCTGCACAATGGGGTTTAAATCTGGGGAGAAGTTGAGACAGTGGAGTATTCAAAATTCAGCCGAGTGTTGTTAGAAGTCGTTTTGTGTTCGACGTGGAAAGAATTGGTCATTTGAATCTGTAAGTATTTACTTGATTCGAGGTTAGGGAAATATTGGTCATTTGAATCTGTAAGTATTTACTTGATTCCAGGTTAGTGAAATATTGCTAGTTTGAATCTGTAAGCATTTACCTGATTCGAGTTTAGGGGATTATTGGTCGTTCGAATCTATATGCATTTACTTGATTCGAGGTTAGGTATCGATCGTTTATATTTTACTTCATAAGCATTTACCTGTTTCGGTGACGAGTAAATATCGATCGTTTATATTTGAATCAGTAAGCATTTATCTGAATCAGGGATAGGTACTCACTGACCGTTTTTATTTGAATCTATAAACAATTACTTGATTCGAGGATAGGTTAATATTCGTCGTCTATATTTGTGTTTATAAGCATTCATCTTCGGAAATAGTATAAATTGATTGTTTATAGTTAAATCTATAAGTATATACTTTGTTTGGAATCAGGTAGATATTTGTGCTTTTTTTTGCATTTCTATGCATTGACTTGGTTCGTGAATAGGTAATTTTTACGTTTTAATTATATAAACATTTATTTGATTTGGGATGGGTAAACATTGTTCGTCTATTTATTTTTTTTTAGTCTATACGTATTTCATCTGTTCGAGAATAGGTAAATACTGGTCGTTTATTTTTATGTCTATACACATTTACTTGGTTGAAGAATAGGTAAATAGTGGTCTTTGTTTCTTGAATTTA